TATCAGCATAGCTTTGGGGTGGCAATGGATTCATGTTTCTATTACTCCAGATCCAATCTGCGTTACTGTAAGCAACGTGCAGCTTTGTTAAGGGGGAGGCTACCTGATGTAAAAGTTCTATTAAGTTGGGGTTTTTTTTAAGTGCTGTGTTTTTTTTTTTCTTTTTTTCTGGAGCACAGTGGTTTCATGGATCCATTTCTAAAGAAAATAAAATGGATAGTCCCTACTTTGTGGTGTTTTCATTTTATTCTACAGTGGACTGTATATATAGAATTGTTGGGATCAGTTGTATTTCTGTGACTTTAAAATGTTCTTACGCTTGGCAGAAGAGACATTAATGAGATTAGAATAAGTGGCTGAAAGAAATTTTCTCTATATTTTCATCAGCATCTCCTGCTTAAGTGCAAGTTTGCCACAGTTTAGGAACCACAAGTTGTTGCTGAGGAGATATTTCCTTTATGGCTGCAGAGAGTCTGACCTGTAATGCACAAATGAGTATACACTTGTCTGGGCGGGCTACAGATGTAGGTATGTAGGCATAGCTCACCTGCCTCAGCTGTGAGGGAAAGGTTCTTCAGTGTAAATAGGGCCATACGTTTCAATTAGCGTAATTCTGTTTATATAGTTACCCCCATTCCCCATATATATGGCCTTTGGGGAGGGATAATAGCATTGCTCACATTCCTTGGGCAAATTTGTGAACAAACAAACAAAAAAAAAGTGAGGAACTACTTGTTTTATACACAAGTGAGTAATCCCAAGAGATTTGTGCCTACCAAACTGCTAAACTTCTCCAAAGTAGCTCATAGAGAGCAAGTTGTGTTCTTGTTCCATTTGTTACCAAATTGGGTTCCCTGAAAAGAATGTGTTGCACAGGTAGAAAGACCTTAAAGGCAGCAAGACCTAATTCTAATTTCTTCTCTGCTGTGAAAGAAGTTGGAATCTGCACAAAGGAGTGTGTATGAAATGAAACACATGCAAAATGTCTGTGACTCTGGATTATCTGTGAGAGTACAATTTAGAAATGACGGGGCTGCATAGTTATGACCTAATTTGACATGTAGAACCTTCTGTAACTGGTGGGTAAAGATAATCCCTGAGTATCTCTGACTGTGTCTGTGATTGATTGGTTTTCTAGTCATGGGAGAAACAGTTATATTTGAAAAAACAAAAACAAAAAAAAAAAAAAAAAAAAACCTTCACAAATCCACAAATCTGATGCACAAATTTTAAGAACATCCTTACTTATTGCTTTTCAGAATAACATCACTTTAAAAAGGTGTATTTCTAAAAAAATATCTGTTAACTCTTGATGCACATGGCAATGGTAATATTGGCACCGTGTCAACAAGCTGAAGCATATCTTAAAGCAGACAAGAGTAAAGTTAATTCCAGATTTCTTCTCACTGCTCTCTTTCTGAGTTACTGCTATACCATGTAACGCCAACGGAGCTGTTTTTCTCTCATCCTCAGAGCTCTAGGGAGTATCTGAGACTGGGAAGTGTACACTTGCCTTTTGGGTGTTTATAAGGGTAGTTTGTAAGGGAGCTGCCATTTTAGTTGACTTTGCATACTTACCAACAGTAACAGAAGTAACAAGGTAGAACAGAAAGAAAAGCTCTGAATTCTAAGACAACAGAGGAAAGAATAAAAAGTATTGACAAAACTGAATTGCAGTCAAATTTGTTGTTCAGCTTTTTATTTTAGATGGCAAAATCAGCTTCTTCAGGGACATTTGGGAGCTGGAGGCTGAACTTTGGTTCTGTGCTATGCTGAAGAGAGAAGTGCTTGCCCTATTCTCTCTTCTTTCTGCTGTAAACTGAAGAGTCCATTACAGAAAGACACTTTTTCAGAAATACAGCCAGAACCTTCCAGTACCATGGAAAAGCTGCAGGATCCTCACGCAGTGATGAAAATGTACATTATTCTGCCTCATAGCCTTTTATCAGCTGGGGCTGTCTCTTTAGGCAGTCAGATCTGTGCATGACACTGGAACGTTTATGTCAGGTTTTATAGATCCTTACCTTGAAACTAGAGTGGTTCTGAACACTCAGGTTCCCAGGTTGTTTGCCACAGTTGTAAGACACCACTAGCATTACTTTTAATTAAGGCATTTCCACAGTATCTCCATGTATTTTTTTTTTCTTTGATGTGTTTTATCTAATACACTGCTAAGTTTTCTTCTTCTCTCTTTTTCCCAGTAGAGTAAATATGTTGGGAGTTGATACTTTGCAAGAATTTCCAGTGTTGCAGCAGTGCTTTACACATTAATCCCGGTCTCGGCATTGAATTGATACTGGATTTCAGAGTGTTTCCACTTCAGTACTGTTTGCTTTCTTACAAAATTCCATTCCTATTGAACTGGAGAGATAAGTCACTCAAATACTGAAACATAATCTGTAACTAATTCTGCCAGTGTTTATCATGGAAACCCATAATATTCTGTGAAGTCATCCAAACCTTTCCTCGGGCCATTTTCACAGAAAATTCAAATCCTTAATTTGATTTTCATTCATTAGCCCTCATTGCTCCTCTGTCTGTGCTTCCTTGTTGTTGCTGCAAAGGGGATAATTAAAACTGTACAACAAAATAAAAATTTTCCAGGAGCAGCATGAGGCTGAATAGGCAGGATGCTTCATCTCCTCTGACAGCCTGTTTACAATGTGTTGAGCTTTGAATTTCAGTCATAAGTGCAGTAGAATTCTAGATAACTCAGTCCCTTTAGGATATTAAAAACCATAGTTAATATTTTAGCAAACTTGGAGATCTTTGCTGGGGAAAAGATGAGATTAAAAGACATTTTTCATCAAGCATTTGAGGCTCTAATGTTGAAAATGTTATGAGAAGGCAGCAGCTTTACCCCGAGGGATTCCTGAAACCTAGAGAAAAGATAAAATTCCAGTCTTGAAAGTGAATAATGCACTAAAAAATTAATCCTCAGTCAACATATTATAGACTTTACTGTTCATCCTGACTAAGGACTTTTAAGAGCCTCATATGACTTCTGGCCTTTTCCAAACTGCTATGGTTATCCATAACAAGCTTGTTCTGACCTCTGGGCATGAATCTGCGCTGAGCAGAACTGGGAATAAAGGAGGAAGTTTGGGTATGTATAAACAGGAGGAAATGTGATCCTGCAAGACACAGATGAAGAAACAAAGACTGTGGCTTTATAAACACTTTAAACTGGCTGTAGAGGCAGACTGGCCCATACCCACACTTAGGCTGGTGTGGGAGTGTGCAGCTTTCCTTCCTTTTCCCAATATATTTCTTTTCATTTGGACTAAGACAGGTTCATAGTAACCTGGACCTGTTTATCCACGATGCATTTTAAGACTCTCTCCACACCAATGCTGCTTTAAATCTAGATCAGTTTGGTGAGCAGCAGTGCAGGTACCTGCATTGGTGAGGCAAGGGGGTAAATGTACTCATAGAATCACAGAAGCTTTTCAGTTGGAGCTACCTGGTAATCTCTCCTGCAATCAACAGGAACACCCACATGTAGATCAGGTTGCTCAGAGCCCCGTCCAGCACAACCTTGGGTGTCTCCAGAGATGGGGCATCCACCACCTCTCTGGGCAACCTGTGCCCCAGTAGAGGACACGCTGAGTCACACCTCAGGGTATGATGAGGGCTGACAGCTCTCCTGCTTGCTGCCCAGCTGCTGATGGAGTCACTGTGAGAAGAGCAGACCTACGTATAAATCATGGGTGGGGTCTGCAGAGAAGAGAGTGAAGCAGGAGGACTGAGCTGATCTATTGCTTTAAGCTGACTTCAGCTTTTGTGAAACTTAGCAAAAGGCCTTTCGCCTCTTCACTTCATACTCAGAAGATATCACAAAGATCAAAATGTGATTTCACTGCTGTGCCCTGCTTTGGTTGTATGTGGAGGTCCATGCGAGTGTCTGCAATAGCTCTACTAAGGATAAGCATTGTTCATGAGGTTAATCTCTCTGTAGAGGCAATGGAAAGACAGGATTGTCTTGAGGACAAGCCTGAGCACAGACCTAACTTGGCCTGGGAGATTAGGCTGACTGATCTAACGTTAGCTTGTGCAAGCACCTTCCCCAGCACCACCACCATCTTGTGTTGAAACTGCTGACCATAAAGGCAGCCCCTACTTTGCCTCACAAAACAGCAGATGCTTGGGTGAACGAGTTGGTATATACAATAGGAAGACACTGTATGTGTTTTAAAGGCAGCAATCTCAGACAAGAAATAAAAAAAAAAGAAACATTTTTGAGACTGTGTCACGAATAAAAATCCTTTTTATTATGTTTGGACACAGAAAGTCAAGCAAGCTCTGAGTTCAGGACAATGTGTGTGCACTAACAACGTTAGTCAAAATAGGCAGAAAAAAAGAAAACCCTCAGATCATGTGGACAAAAGCCAAAAGAAATAGAAAGGATCGCAACTCATTTTACTACTAGTAAGATAGTGGTTCACTTTCAAATGATGAAGGAACCAAGGCTCTACGGGTGCTACTCTGCATACAGAGGGATGCTGAATGTTGGCTGGATCCTACACAGTTATTAATTCCTTTCTTGCCCACATATTGCCAGCCTGCATCATAGGCCCATCAGCTGAGTGCAGAACTCCTGCGCTTTCTCTTGAACACTGCTGGTATGCATCTCTTTTACAGCAAAGAGCTTTGGGTGCAGCTATCAGTACCACATTTCTTCACCTGATATCTGAAATCTACTTATGAAACCTATGAAATAATGATAGATATTATGTCTCTACAAAAAGATACAACTCTGTGGTTTTCTCCAGCACTTGCCTGTAAATACTACAGATAGAAGGAGAGCAGGAAGGAACATGCATACTCCTGGCAGCACTCCCAGCGCAGGGCTGGGGACAGAAGCTCTGTCTTCTTTCATTTTTACTGCTGCTTAGCAGCCTGGATCACTAACAGCCTCCTCCTTTCCCCTTAGAGCAGTAGCCCCAGACCTACCACTTAGCAGAAGTGCCTGCATTTCTCATTCCTCTAAGAAAGTGGTATTTTGGGTTTTTTTTATTTTTTTTTTTTTTATGCTTGGGTATTTACTGGGCCAGTCCTGCACTTGCTATCCTCTCCTATGGAGCTGTGGCCAAGTGTTGGAATGAGAGGATCAGCCATGTTGGAGAATCACAGCCTGTTTCTAGGGTTCTTGTACTTAATGCTTAGTGTTTGGCAACAGGGTAGAAATGCACAATCTGCTGTTTGTCCCTGCTGTCTCACCCTCTTGGGATCTACTGTCTCCATATTTCTCTATCTAAAGACCCAAACCCAGTGCTTCCAGTTCTGTTTCCTACCCCAGCCACAGTTCCTGTAATCTCCACCTCCTTTTCCTCCAAAGCAGCTGATCACAGGGGGATGTTTGCCCACATCTTCCATGTGAGCAATCACAAGTGCTCACTTTGTGCTACTTTCAGATGGATCACATCCCACTAAAAACGTGTCCTGCATCTTAGGAATGTCTCAGCAGTATTGGTAGAACTGATCGGAGAAAGACTGGTGATTACTGTAACAAATGAAATCGTTATCTTTGAAAAAAGTCCCTGCAGGAATCATAAAGGAGGTTTGTCAAGGGAAGGTTAGAAGGAATGAGCAGAAATGCAAGGAAGATCAAAGATCTCCAGTTCACTCCCTTGACTGACAGTTATGTATGCTGGCAATATGCTCAAAAAAATGCAGTGAACTCTTTGAAATGACAATGAATTATAAACAGAAGGGTAAGCTGGGAATTTTCAGCTCACCTGTGGGACAGAAGTGGGTGCGAAAATTGGAAAAGGATGAAGGGAGATGGAAAAGCACAGATGAAACTCAATTTCATCCAGGAAAACTTTCACTCCATTGTATTAAAGGAGAAATTTGAAGGTTACAGTTCAGAAGAGACACGAGCTAAGCTAATCCCTCACTGCAGGGGGCTGTTAAATCCAGCAGTTGAAAGTTCTTCAGTGCAAAGTGCCCAGAAGCAGCCAGGTAACCAAAGGTGAAGACAGTGAGCGCTAATCTCTGAGCCATCAGCAGGCAGCTGAAACAGAGCAGGCACTGCAAAGCAGAGCACTTCACAAAGTGCATACTTTGAAGGAATAAGCTACCAAAATGAGAAGAATTCAAATACCAGCTTAAGAGGTGACACAAGGAGGAAGGTTGTGGTTTCTTCACATCACAGCATAACAACATGCTTAATAACACGGGCACTGAGGTAGCAGGTCTGAATACGGGGATGGTGGGATGGGGAAGACTGAGTACAGAACAAAGGGACACAAAACTTCTGGTCAATATTGATGGAAATATCCACATAATTTTCCAGGACGGTATCTCTGATAAAGCAGATCTCATTTGCAGTTGCAATGGTGGGCCTCCTGCAAGCAGGAGTGCACACAGAAAACAGCCTTACATCTTTTATTCCCTACTGCCCGACCCTTATCCCTTTCTCCCCTGGTTCCTCATTGGCTGAGTACTGCAGGTTCACACTCTTTTGCGAGGCTTCACTGATCACACAAGTACCCAGTAAACACAAATCCTTGCCATCCAAACACAAATTTCTTAATTAGTTAATTACTTTCTAACAATTGCTCTCTCAACACCTGGTCATTGCTTTCAGACACCTGCTTTGCAATTCAAACATAAACATAAACCTCTTAATTATTTAATTACCCTCTAGCATTTGTTCCCTTCACACTTGGTCACTGTGTTGACCACCTGTTTGTCCTTGCACACAGACAAGCTTGGAAGGAGGATAGAGAGGAGTATCTTGGAGCCTGCCTGTGACATCCTAACCTTCCCACAGAGTGGGACAGTCCTGCTTTGTGTAAAGGCCTTGGCTCCTTGAAAGCTTGTTTAGAGCACTCAAAATCTATTGCAGCTTTGTGAGAAAGAATTTGTCACATCATTCAGTAATTATGTTTCTAAAATATGTTACTAATACGTATATGGTGTTTCTACTTTTCACATCAGCTATTTCTAAGGACAAGCTACAGAATACAAACACTTTATGTTCTACTTCTTCAGATCCATTGCCCTTTCCAGTATCCAATGCAGAAACAACTTCCCACAATTCCGCTTTTTTTTTTTTTTTTTTTTTTTTTTTTTTTTTACAGTGTTGATTTCTGCAATTCTTTTCTAAGATACGATTTTAAAGCCTTCTTCACTTTCTTCATCCTCCATTTCTTCTAGTACCATCATTTTATCCAAGTACAGTAGCGGCTCCATTATGGTTTGCTTCAGCAGCGCAGTTTCAATTAATTGCTGTACCAGCCCCCTCACGCAGGGGATAATACAGCAACCGATGGCCACCAGGACTCCTGCTACTACAACCAAGGAAGTAAATATGGACACAATCATCCCTTTCCATTTGCCAAACCAGGACTCCAACCACCCAGTGATAGAAGTATTTATTCCTGAGTTTTCTGCCAATTCATCAGCAAGAGTAGTAAGCCCCCTTCAGTTACTGTGCCATCTGGGGCTGTGTTATTAGGGATGAAGGTGCAACAACGAGTGCCTAACATTACACACACACACACCCTTTTTCAGCTAATATATTTAGGGCGGTCCTATTTTCCCAGGCCATCCTACTTGTAGCATCCAATTGTTCTGCAATTCTCTTTACTGCCTCCTTGGTATAGTTTATACCTGTATAGTTTATCTCTGTTGATTGTAATAGATGTAGTTTATCCACTCTACATTTTTGTAAATTGTCACCCACCAGAACAGCGACTCAAATCCTGCAGCAATTTGATTTCTAGTCTTAAATTCATTCCATCATTAGAAATACTTGGAATGGCCCTTCCCAGTCAGGTTGCAGCTTTGTCTCCTTCCAGGTCTGGATCAGGACCCAGTCTCCAGCTTGGAATGGATAAATTGGAAATTCCAGAGGTGGTGTTTGTGCTAACAGTCCTCAGATCCTGAGAGATGATAGTGAGGAAGACAATCTGAGTACATAGTTTTTAAGAAATATATCTTTAGTTTCAAACTGTGGTATCTCATTTTTCTTTCCTAGAAATGGTAAAATGGTAACTCAAATAACATTTCATATGGAGAAACCCCCACATCCTTTCTTGGTGCTGTCCAGATTCAGAGAAGTACTAGAGGCAAGCACTTGGTCCAAAGGAGTTGAGTCTCTAGGACCAACTTAGTCAGATGTTTCCTTATCGTCTGATTCATTCTTTCTCCTTTTCCCAATGGTGATGAGTGCCAGGGGGTGTGAAGTTCTGTAAAATCTACTTGAATACTTTGGAATGGTCAAGTTCCCAGCTCTCTCCCCCCTTCAGGTTGATTTCTAATAGCCTTATTATTTACTTTCTGGCATACTACACACCCCCTACAGACCTGTTTACCAGAGTATATATCCCCATGCTTACATATTTCCACAGAACACCATCACTCAGAGCTTGCACTCCCCAATGACTCCCTTTATGCAAGATGATTAAAACTTCTCTTGTCACTGCCTTGTTTAATACTTCTCTCCCATCCACCTTCCCTCAGACTCCGTGGCCCCTAAGTTCCTAAGAGTTTCCTTTTCTTTTTCTCTGAATATCTGTTTTGGGAAGAGGTGATACCTCAGGCACAAGATAATTCATAATAATTGTTGATTGTCAAGCAGCCTCATTGGGCTGCCAATGGGCTGCTTTATATGCTGCTTGGTTACCTTGGGCAATAATCCAATTCCCCTTCTGATGCCCTTTGACATACACTATTGCAGTTTCAGTGGGTAGCAGTAAATTTTCTAGAACTTGTCTGATGGGTCCTCATGAAGCAATTCCTTTCCTTCACTGTTGATTAATCCTCGTTCCTCCCAAATTTTTCCAAAAGTGTGTACCTCTCCATACGCATACCTTGAATCAGTATATATGGTTCCCTCCTCTCCTTTAAGGAGATGAAATGCTTGGTTCAAGGCATATAATTCACATGTCTATATATAATTATATATATATATTATGTATATATATATATAATTCACATGGACTGCCCAGGGAGGTGGTGGAGTCACTGACCCTGGGGGTGTTCAAGGAAAGGCTGGATGTTGTGTTGAGAGACATGGTTTAGTTGGAGCTATTGGTGATAGCTGAACAGTTGGACTGGATGATCTTTTAGGTCTTTTCCAACCTTGGTGATTCTATGATTCTATGTCTGTGCTGACCAATCATTAGGCAGCCGGCCCATCTCTCTCACCTCCTCTTTTGCCCCCTCTATTACAGCACATCCATTGTGTCTTTTTCCTTGCACCACCCTTGAAGACCAGTAGATAAACAAAAGCTTTCCTTCCTCAAGGGGGGTGTCTTGCAGGTCAGATCTTACTCTTGTCTGATACTCAATTAAATCCAAGCAACTATGCTCTACATTTTCTTTTTTCTCCTCCCCTTTCCACAAGAATATAGCTGGATTAGGCAAGATTCAGTTGTTAGCACTAAGTCATTTTTCTCCATTAAGATTGTCTCGTATTCCAGAATTCTAGAGTCAGTTAACCATCTTCCAGCCTTCTGAGTTAAAATAGTTTACACCTGATGTGGGGTAGTGACTACCAAGCGTCTCCCGAAAGTCAATTTTCTGCTCTCTTCTACCAGAAGAGCAGTCACTGCTACAGCTTGGATACATTCTGGCCATCTCCAAGATATTGGATCCAGTAGCTTAGATAGATATGCCACAGGCTGATGCTTGTTCTCCCATTCCTGGGTTAGCATTCCCAGGGCTGCCCCTTGATCTACAGTAACAAAGAGCTGGAAAGGTTTATTCAGTGCAGGGGGAGCTAGGACTGGGGCTGGAATTAGATTCTGTTTTAATTCCTCTATCAACTCCTTTTTCTTGGCAGTCTGCTCAAGGGTGTTGGGTTCCTCATCTAATAATTTAAGGTATAACCCTTTGGTTTTCTAAGCATATGCTTCTATCCAGAGTCTGCACTATCCTACTACCTCTAGGAATTTTCTCAATTCCCTCTTTGTTCTGGGCAAGGGTAGTTCAACAATTCCCTGAATTATCTCTGGGGTGATCCTACAGATCACCCCTTTTCCCTCAGAAACCAGGTGTCCCAAATATCTAACTTCTTTTTCTACTTATAGTTTATTCTTTGAGACTCTCAGTCCCTGTTTCCCTAGTTTAGTTTAGCAGTTCATTTGTAGCTTTTTTAACATCTGCTTTTTCTGCTCCTGACAAGAAGAGATCATCCACATATTGTAGGAGCGATAATCCCTATGGTGGCTGAAAGTGTTCTAATATTTGCTCCAAAACTTGTTCAAACAGATTTGGTGACTCTTCAAACCCCTGAGGCAGAACCATCCACAGATACTGTTGTTTTCATCCTCTCTCAGAATCTTCCCACTCAAAGGCAAATATATTTCTGCTCTCCAGATCCAGGGGACAAGACCAACGGGCACCCTTTAGATCTGTAACACTGAACCATTCATCTTCATTTGGGATTTTACTCATCAAGGTATATGAGTTTGGAACCACTGGATGTCATTTCTGTACTATTTCATTAATTTTTCTCTGGTCTTGGACTAATCAATAGGAGCCATCAGGTTTCTTTACTAGTAGAATGGGGGTATTGAAAGTCGACATACATGGTTCCAGAGACCCATCCTTCAGTAATCCTTGTATCACAGGTTTAAGCCCAATACGTCCCTCTAAAGGAATTGTGTATTGTTTCTGTCTTATGGTCTTGTATTTTTCCTGCAACTTTATTTTTAAGGAGTTATTTTCAGCCCCCTTCCTCCCCTCCCCCATTCCCTTCTTTTACCCAGACCACGGGATCTATCTCTTTCTCATCTGCCTCAGTTAACACATTCATTGATACTACAATTCCCTCCTGACAGGTTGTTATTTGTATTCCCAATTTCATCATAAGATCTCTCCCCAGCAAATTAGTCCCTGCATCAGGCACATAAATAATTGTCCTGTTGTTGTCCTATTCCCTAATCTCAAGTCAGTCTTTTCAAAAAGTGCTGCTGTCATCCCAGTCCCCTCTACCCTCATTGTCTTTAGAGTCTCATTTGTTAATTTGAGCCCTGACACTTTATGAGCCAGCGATGACCAAGCTGCCCCAGTATCAACTAAAAATACAATATCCTCCTCTTCAGGTCCCACTTTCATATTTACCAAGGGCTCCTAGTGGGACCAAATTTTCAAGAGCCCCTGGCACCCCTATTCTCAGTTTAAAGCAGCTAGTAACGTCTCCTTTCTCTTCCACTCTGGGCAGTTTCTCTTTATATGTCCAACCCTACCACACCTGAAACACCTCTTTTCACTATTCTCTGACTGAGGCCTAGATCGATATCCTCGTCATTTTCCTTCTCTTTGCCACCCTTCAGAACTCAACCTCTCTTCTATTTTCCTTTCCCTATTATTCATTCTTTGTTTCAATACACGATCAACTGTGGAAACCATTAACCTAGCCCTTGTATTCCATCCTTGTATCTTTTGAAGTTTTTTCTGTATGTCTGGCCACACCTTAGTTACAAAATTCACCTTAAGGAGGCTTTGTGCTACAGGATGCTCAGAATTCATTCCTGAGTATTCTCTCATTCTGTCTCTAAGCCTTCCTAGAAAATCACTAGAAAATCATCCTTATTCTGCTGAACCTCAAATGCCTTAGTGAGATTCCAGGACTTAGGCACAGCCTCCTTAATTCCAGCTATTATTGTATCTCGCAAGTCCTTCATGTTTTGCTGATGTTGTGCATTATTACAGTCCCAGTTAAGGTCTTCCACTGGGTATTTTTGCTCTGCTGGAACCATCCCAAGGTGTCCAGGGGGATTATTCTTTTCCTATTCTTGCATAGCAGCTCGCCTGATCATAACTCTTTCCTTTCCAGTAAACAATATACCCATGATAGACACTAATTCCATCCATGAGTACAGGTTAGGACCCAGAAATTGGTCCAATTGTTCTGCTACTGCTACAGGATCCTCAATTAAGGATTTCATTTCCTTCTTAAAATTTCTGACCTCTCCGCTAGTGAGTGGGGAGTTTATATACCTATTTGCCCCTGTCCCAGTGGGACCTCCCATCAGGTGTACATGGAGGTGTTAATCTGGTCAGTATCAGGGAAAGGAAAGTTTTCAATATCCCTCTTACATTGTTCTAACTCTCTTCTGAGCCCAGCATGCCCTCTTTCTTGTGAAATGACTCTATGGCTCTTCTCTTGTTCTTCTGGGGGAGTGACTGTCACCTCTTGTACTACACTAGAGTTATATGGGGGGGGGATAGGTTCTCTAGGGAATCCCATTGATTAGTTTTCTTTCCTAATTCCTCTTCTTCCTGATCCGAACCTTTCTTTGCTAGCAGTAGACTGACCTCTTGTGTCCAACAAGCAGCATATTCTGTTTCTTCCTCCGACAAGGGAGTTTCATTCCTTACATACGAATTCAAAATCTGACAGGTCCAATCTTTGTCAGATCTGTATTTTGGCCAAAATACTCATTTTCCCTGTAAAGGCTCTCTAGGCCATATCTGTGCACCGTATTTAAACATCTCTTTCCTGTCTTTGTCCCTAGTTTTGGGGTTGGTTTTCCAGTTCTGAAGCACTTCTCCCAAGGGCTATCTATAGGCACGATTTTGGGGACCCTTTTCCCCGGCTCTCGGGAGCTCCTATTACCTCCAGAATGCTACCATGAACTCCCCAGCTCACAGGTTACCAGACCCCCATTCTCAGATTTTGGGCCCAATCCCCCCAGAGTGCTGTACTCCTATCTCAGATTAATAGGGGTGCACTGCTGGCACTTCGTCAGGTGCGCAGGGCACCGCACACCAACAGCCCCCTCCCGAGACTCCTCCTTTCACCAACAGCCGCTCCGTCCGCCCCTGGCCGCGCCCCTCGCGGGACAACAGAACCGCAGGTCGGGACTCCGCACTCGCTTCGCACTGAAGTGCGTCCCAGTCACACACACTCAAGAGTCTCAACCGACCCCCAAGGCAAGAATTAAATTCCCTTACCTTGGTCCGTGCACGAAGTTACTGGGTCACAATGGCCAGCACCCGTGCCTACCTGCCCCTTGGCTTTCACAGAGCCCGTCCTTTATGTAAGTAGCAGTCTTAGTTTCCTATCGACCGTCCCAGGGAGTCACCTCACCACCCAGACTGGACCGCTGAAATCAGCGGGGTGCACCTATCCTGTCCAGGGCAGCGGGGGAGACCCCCAAGAGGCAATCATAATCCCAGACAAGCCCCCAAATGGCTGGAAATAACCAAATAATTTTCCAGGACAGTATCTCTGACAAAGCAGATTTCATTTGCAGTTGCAATGGTGGGCCTCCTGCAAGCAGGAGTGCACACAGAAAACAGCCTTACATCTTTTATTCCCTACTGCCCGACCCTTATCTCTTTCTCCCCTGGTTCCTCATTGGCTGAGTACTGCAGGTTCACACTCTTTTGCGAGGCTTCACTGATCACACAAGTACCCAGTAAACACAAATCCTTGCCATCCAAACATAAATTTCTTAATTAGTTAATTACTTTCTAACAATTGCTCTCTCAACACCTGGTCATTGCTTTCAGACACCTGCTTTGCAATTCAAACATAAACATAAACCTCTTAATTATTTAATTACCCTCTAGCATTTGTTCCCTTCACACTTGGTCACTGTGTTCATCACCTGTTTGTCCTTGCACACAGACAAGCTTGGAAGGAGGATAGAGGGGAGTATCTTGGAGCCTGCCTGTGACATCCTAACCTTCCCACAGAGTGGGACAGTCCTGCTTTGTGTAAAGGCCTTGGCTCCTTGAAAGCTTGTTTAGAACACTCAAAATCTATTGCAGCTTTGTGAGAAAGAATTTGTCACATCATTCAGTAATTATGTTTCTAAAATATGTTACTAATACGTATATGGTGTTTCTACTTTTCACATCAGCTATTTCTAAGGACAAGCTACAGAATACAAACACTTTGGGTTCTACTGCTTCAGATCAATTGCCCTTTCCAGTATCCAATGCAGAAACAGCATTCCATTCCCACATTTAAAACACTGTGATCTGCTCTTTGTTTTTTTTAGAAAATATCGACAATAGCGGTGATTTCATAATCCGCTTAAACATCTTTGGATGAGAGCTCTTACATGATTTTAAAGGATGTTTCTTGTGTATATTTTGTATGTCTCCAACGTCACTGTAAGAATGCTCTCCTGCAAAGACCTAGATAGATACAAAGTGCTTTTATAAAAATTACCCTTGCAAAAAGGAGAGAAGGAAATACTATCATCTCCATCTAAAACTGCAGTGACAAATGGTTACACAGTGGGTTTATGGCAGTTGCAGAAGTAGAGAGGCACGGGCAGAGACTCAGCCACATACCACTGAAGTCTTTGTCCTTTCTGCATCCTGCAATTTCTGTTTGTAGCAAACAGAAATCCCTCCATCCAGCCCAAATGTCCCCCTCCCCCATCAGCAGCACTTCAGAAGGAATCAGCAAGTTGTGTGGGCAGGGAAAACAAGAAACATCACAGAGCAAAGAGAAGCAGCAGCCGTGTTCCCTTCCCCTGCAGCATCCCACGGGCTGGACAGCTGAGGTGGCCTGCACATGACAGCCTGCTGCAGGACAGAAGAGCTAACACAGTCAGCAGAAGCGAACAAAAAGTGATGGTATTTGCACATGCAGTGACTGCATTGATCAAAAAATAAGTCACAATGCTCTGAGATGTGCTCTCCCAGCCATGCAGCAGAGCTGTACCAGGGGCTGTTCCCCTTACCCTTCTCAGCCCATTGGCAGCTGCTCCTTGCTCAGCTTTTCTCAGAGCCTCTGATGGGATTGGTGAAGTGCTGCTGACAGAGCTACTTCCTCCCTGAAAATGTTTTTCTCCTACCAAACAACTGCAGCAGCATAACAGGTGTCCTAAGGGCTTTCTGACAGTCTGCTCAGAGGTGAGCAATTGCTGCTTCGGAAAAAAAGCAGGATTAACAGAAAGTCCCTTTTCAGGGGAGAGGAAAAGGAAGAACCTCCCATGTGCTACTGTTTCTCTGCAGATGCAGCTTTGCCAGAACAGGTGGATCTATTCGAATCATAGAATCATTGAGGTTAGAAAAGATCTCTAAGATCACCTAGTCCAACCCCAAGCCAACACCACCATGCCCACTGATCACATCCCTCAGTGCCATATTCATGCAGTTCTTGAAATACCTCCAGGGATGGTAACCCCACCACCTCCCTGTTCCTTAACATCTAACCTGAACCCCCACTAGTGCAACTTGAGGCCATTACTACCTGAGAGAAGAAGCCAACTCCCACCTCACCACAACCTCCTTTCAGGTCATGGTAGAGACTGATGAGGTTTCCCCTGAGCTCCTCTTCTCCAGACTGAACAATCCCAGCTCCCTCAGCCACTCCTTATAAGGCCTGTGCTCCAGACCCATCGCAGCTCCATTGCTTTCTCTGGACACACACCAGGGCCTCAACGTCCTTTTTGTAGAGAGGGACCCAAAACTGAACCCAGTACTTGAGATGCAGCCCCACCAGTGCCAAGTACAAAAGGATAATCACCTCCCTACTCTTGCTGGCTGTGCTATTTCTGACACAAATCTGTGATACAAAAATCTGATACTGATTCATGGCCACCTCCTATCAGGACCTGTAGCTACCCCTCTCTTTGGCCACAACAGCCTTTAGAGACACCCTGCAGCCCTGCATAGCACTGCTTGCTGGCCCCTCAGCAGTAAAATGGCTGCCATCTCCTGAGGGCTGAACTGTGTGCTCCTTGGCATCTGTGTTTGTCTCTACAGCTTATTGGCCCTGGGCAGCCACCCACATGGACAGCAATTTTCCTAGTGGTTATAACGTATTTCTACTCGGCTACCATATGAAGCACGATGATAAATCCAGCTGATTGTTGTCATTTTTTCCTGTGGCCATTCCAACCAGTCAGTTTTTCTCACTGTCCTACACAATTAATTACAATTAATTATAAGGAATTTTTAGTTACCTGAAGCTAAAATGCTTCCTCTACTTCCATCTTGTTCCGTACAAGATGCATGAGATTACAGCACTTAAAGCTGACGCGAAGCGGAGGATTTGCAGGTAGCACAGATTGGAGATGCCCCAGCAAAGGACATGCTGAGTCCCGGGCCCTGTTTCCATCTCAGGCTGTGATGAGGGCTACCAGCTCTCCTGCTTTGCTCCTTGCCTCACCGCATGATGGAGCCACCCTGAGCAGAGCAGGCCTAGGTGTACACTACAACTAGAACTGGAATCACTCCAAACTGGGAGTGCCTGTTAACTCCGGCATCACTTGCATGTGTAAAGCTTAAGTCAGAGCTGCAACAAGCAACCATTGCTAACAAGATTTCAGTGCAGGTCTGCATGACTGCTGTGAATCAGGTATTCCATGCAGGCATCCCGAAGGCATGGCTGCACAGCTCTTCTGTCTGAGATTTGGGAGCCTCCATCTCAGGTGTTAGCTTCAACCTCAGTGTTGTGCTCAGCAGGAGGCAGGCAGCTGGAGTGTGTTTCTTCAGCAAATGGTACATGACTATAGACATCAAAGCTTGGGATAAGAGTTCTCTTCTTTATTACATATGCATGCATTATTTATCAATAGCCCTGGTGAACCTAAGACCCAATTTTTGTCATGGGAAGTGAATGCATTTCTCTAATTTCAAGCACGTTGCAGACTGCTCTGCTCAGCTAAATGGTTTGCTGAGTTGTCACTGTCTCTATTGAGTGCCACATGTGCTGGCTCAATGCCAGGAGGAAGCAGAATAAGTGAGGCTGCTAGAAACTGATTGTTTCAAACATAGATTGTGCATGCTGCTACATGTTACAGCAAGAAGAGAGAGGTGATTTGCTCCCATATGTGCACAGATGAGACTATGTCCTGGTGAGCTGCCATGCCCTCTCAATCTGATGCCCTCCTGTATGCCCAGCATCCCATGGGGGGATGATAACTGCTGGTGTGGGGGGCCAGCTTGAAAGAGTCTGAGTTTCTTCCTCAGCTAATTTGTGCCCCTTGAAGGAAATCAAAGGAGCTGACAGGTGAGACAGTTAATTGCAGGCTCGGAGGCAATTTAGGGCTGATGGGAAGTGGTTCAAGTCACTGGGGGCTTGAAGGAGCCCCTCTTTCCGTAGTCATAGGTCAGGGCAGACATCTTCCTCTCACTGCAGGAGGAATCACAAAGCAAAATGCAAGCTGCTTGGAAACTGTGGATCTGGTGTGGAAACCTTCTCACTGTCCCTCTCTTCCTCAAGACTGTCATGATATTTTTAATAACAATTGATGGCTGCCTAAACTCGCAAACATGTTCTCATTAATATTCATGAAAGAATGGACTGTTTTTATCTACACCTACATCAGTGTGTGGTAAAATGTATCTCAAGCCCAGCTTTTATGTTTAATCGCACTGAAACTGGATCACCTCTGATTTTTATGGGGAAAAAATAGTTTGTTTTCAAAGGAGGAAAGCATGAAACGTTATAATTTCTGACCTAGAATTTTGGCAGAGCTGCTCCATTCTCTGGTATCAAAATGGATGGGGAAAAAAAAACAATTTTTTGAGATTTTTAATTGACCTCTGAATATTTCAGCCATGCTGTTATGCGTTTCTACAATAGCACCCACCCAGACTTTCAGTGTAAGCACCCTGCAGCCATTAGCCAGTAAATACTTGTCAGAATTTCTGCATGTACATGGGGCATTATTATCAGATCATGAAAGAAAGAAACTCATCTCTGCTCCCACATCTGTCAGGGGGAAGTTTTGCCCTGAGAGGGTGATGAGGCACAGCTGCCCAGAGAAGATGTGGGTGCCCCATCCCTGGAATGTTCAGGGCCAGGTTGGATGGGGCTCTGGGCAGCATGAGCTGCTGGGTGGCAGGCCTGCCCCTGGCAGGGGGGTTAGAACAAGATGATATTTAAGGTTGCTTCCAAACCAAGCCATTCTCTGATTCCATGATTCTATGTTTCTATGATCTGCCAACTCTGGCTGGGACACAGGGCAGAGGAGACTTCCTTCTGGCCCAGACAGCATCTCTAATTTGACCCAAATACCTCGATGCCGATAACCTTGTTAACCTCTGTATCCTTATTAACACACTGAGAAGTGAGAGGTAGGTATTTGCAGCATATCCTCTGAGCAGGGTCATTGCACGACACATTTAACGCAAAGGATTTGGCAACACGAAGGATGCTGCGAGGCGTGCACTGAGTCAAGTGTTTTTGTGGCTGTGGAGATTAGCAGATTAAGTGGCATCATTTCTTTAGTCACTTGATGCATTGCAGTTCCTGGGGCTCCCCAAGAAGCAAAGCTTCCTCCCTCAAAAAAGCTGTTCTAGTGCAGCTACTTTATCAGGAAAGCTTTAATCCCTTTCAAAATGGGGTTTCCCTTTCTCCTAATCAAGTTCTTTCAAATCATGCAGACTTGAAATGGAAAAGATTAAGTTTAACCCCTTGGTAGTAGAGGGAGAGGGCTTAAATCGACTTTCATTCTAGCTACCTAGTGTCAAGACCCAGGAAAGCAGCTGTCTGCTCACAGTTCTCTCCCCATTGAACACCTCTGTTCATATTTCTTTTTCATTTTTTTTCCCCTTTTCCTTTCTTCTTGTTTCAACATGGAGTATTTAAACAAGTCTAAATTTAGAGTGGAAATTTAGCTGTGGAAAAAAAAAAAAGGAACAAAGACAATGTAACCAGGCAAAGGCATTAATTAATGTGACACCTACATGTCTGCTTCTATAAACAACAGGTAGAGCATGCAGCTGAGATTAGCGATCTGCAGGCAGATATTTGCAGAGCTACTGAATGGAAGGAGGGTGTGAAAGGCCATTTCGGCCAGAGTCCTGCTGACATGGGGAAACTCTGTAGGCCAAACATGCATCCATCGTTCACTGCTTCTGAGGCAACTTGAAATGGAGAGATTTGGGGGTATAGCACCTGCCTGTACCACCGGAGCTACTCTAAG